GTATATATATATATATATATATATATATATATATATATATATATATATATATATATATATATATCTAATGTATTAGTGCAGGGGTGACCGGGCACGATGTCACCCCCTTTTATATCAATTTTTTCACGTCGACATTTATTTCTTGCTCCTCACTTGCAAAAGCAAACGTCGTGAAACGAAAAAAGGAAACGTAAACTTTTTATAGAGGATCATAAAAGTGAGAACCAAAGGAAAGTAGTTTTCCAAGTGACGCCACTGACTTTGTGACCCGCAAAAATTTCGCCCACTTCTCAAAAAAAGTTCGCCGTCACTGGTCTGTACCGACGATAGGAGTTTAAATTGAGAATTAATTGCAAAATAAACCTCATAAACATGTCTGACAACAGATGGACCCAATGCCAGAAGAAAAATCTACCTGAGCACACGTTGGAAATTGGAGTTAGTTTGCCAAGCAACGTGGTAGTTAAACCAAACCTAGAAGAACTTTCCCACGTTTTCCACGGAAACCTGCCCCTAGACACGTTTAATTCGCATTCGTCGATAGTTAGACTGGGTGTTTAGATCGACAGCTGGAAAAGTGAGGAAATTTTGCCGCAGAGTGTCCGGGAGGTGCGTTCAGATGCGACAACGGGCAATGCTTGCCGGCGTACGAGTTCTGCAACGCGGTGGTGTCCTGTCGGGACGGAAGCGACGAGCCAAGAGGCGCGTGCCGCAGGCAGATTGGCCGCCATCGGGCTAGAATCTCGTCGAAACACTGTCCGTTTAGGTGCGACAACGGCAGGTGCCGATCGGACGCGATCGTCTGCAGCGGCCGCGACGGCTGCGGCGACGGCTCCGACGAGAAACGCTGTTCCATTTGCAGTCAGTAACTGTGCCATTTTCTTCCTCTTATCAACTGCCACTGATAACGACAGAACGCAACGCGTGAATTAGTATTCGAACAAAACGCCATCCGGAACACGTGCGAATGGGCGAGAGAAATCGCGCATTCGCACGCACTCTTTGCCTATCTGGTTCTTATCGTTCGGTATCGTTCGCTTCCAGGATGTTCGCCGTTTGCCTGATCGAGGAGACGAGACAAGCAACTGTCGGAAGAAATTAGCGCGAGTTGATTGACGACGACACACCATTCTCCGCCAGCCAACCACTGCTCGTGCTACTCTGTGTATTTTTTCTTTTTTTTTTCTTCTTTACAAATAGATTCGCCGTTCGAATAAACGTGAAAAATTCAGAAATTCTTCTCCCTTTTTTTTTATGTATTTATTTATTTATTTATTTTGCCACTTTTCACTGGGGAAAAAGAAAAATATTCATTAGTACAAGAGTTGCGACACAATTGTGAAGAAATTTTTAAGTGTAACAGAGAAATGTATGAGACTGACAAAAATTACAAGGAGATATTAAGCTAAATGAGCGTTTAAGGGGTCGGGACAGTGTGAAATTTGCAAAAAGTCGATCTTTTTAATTTAAACGGTAGTTTCAATTCTTGGAAATGAGATACAAAAGGTCGACATACTTTGGGGTGTAATGATAAATCCGTAGATACAGAATAATTGAATTTCCATCGCTGTTTACGACTTTGGGCAAAGTATCGCAAAGTGTAAATCGTGTGATTGAAATACTACTTTTGGCGAATCGAGTATTAGGGGACTTGGATTCAATTTAGCTGTGAATTGTAAGAACTGTCGAGCCGCGATATAAAAAGTAAAAAAAAAAGTAGGTAAAGGATACGTACGAGAAATGACGTTTTGAAACTTTAAACGCGTTTCTCTCGAAATGCTAGGCTTTTAGAAACGGTGTGCGAGATGTCTCGGAATCTGACCAACCGATTACCGCGAAACTCGGTACGTATCTTTGGCGCGACATTCACCAGGGATCGACGATCCAACGTTTCTTAATTTTTAACAATTTCGAAAA